CTCCGCACTAGGCACAGGAAAGTGGCCGTCTAGGGCAGGAGAGCTGCCAGCCTGGCCACCCAGGACCAGGTGTGCATGAAAATCAAGGGGGTCCACTGAGACCCCCGACACTGAGCCCTGAGCTTACAATGGCCGTCCTGGGTCAGACCAAGGGTCCATCTAGCCCAGTAGCCTGTCTGCCAACAGCGGCCAACCCTAGGGATCCTGGAGGGGATGGACCGAAGACAATGACCAAGCCATTTGTCTCGTGCCATCCCTCTCCAGCCTTCCACAAACTTTGGGCAGGGACACCACTCCTACCCTCTGGCTAATAGGACTCCATGGACCCAACGTCCATGACTTGATCTCACTTCCCTTTAAACTCTGTTCTAGTTGTAGCCTTCACAGCCTCCTTCAGCAAGGAGTTCCACAGGTTAACTATTTGCTTTGTCAAGAACAACTTTCTCTTACTAGTTTCAAGCCTGCTACCCATTCCTTTGCTTTGGTGTCCTCTAGTCCTTCTTTATGGGAACTCATGAAGAACTTTTATGAATGCACCCTCTCCACCCAACCCCTGCTTTTAGAGACCTCTATCCTGTCCCCCCTCCGTCTCCTCTTTTCTAAGCTGAACACTCCCAGTCTCTGTAGCCTCTCTTCATCTGGGACCTGTTCCCAACCCCTGATCATGTTAGTTGCCCTCCCCTCTCCCAGCCTTTCTCTTCCCCTCTCCCACCTCCTTTTCCCAGTCTCCCCCAGTTTTGTTCAATAAAGACAGAGTCAATGTTGGAAGAAACGTTATCTTTATTTTGTACATCAGGAAGGGGGGCTAGGGAAGGGTAAGTGGAAGGGGGTGAGGGAGGAATTGGGTACGAGCCCCCGCTGGGGAGGACTGGGCTGGCTCTGCGGGCTTCTGGGGGTGGAAGCTCTCCCGCAGCCCCCCGATTGCCCCCTCTCGCCAGATGGCAGCCTGCGGCAAGTGCAGCCGGTCTGATGGCCGAGTGCTGTGATGTGCCCAGTGTGGGCACTCCGGGCACTCCAAGCCAGGACTGGTTTTCAAGCGGGGCATCCTGAGAACTGTCTGTCCGGGGTGCGGGTTGGGTCCCTTTAAGTGCAGCCCTCGGCTAGCCTGAGAGAGCATCTCCACGCTCTAAGTACTCCTGTGATGCCCTGCCGGCACTGCTTCCGGCCATCCTTAAGCCCTGTTCAGGGTCCACTCAATGTGGACATGCTAGTTCGAATTAGCAAAACGCTAATTTGAACTAGTTTTTAGTTCTAGACGCGTTAGTTCGAATTAGCTTAGTTCGAATTAACTAATTCGAAGTAAGTTAGTTCGAACTAACTCTGTAGTGTAGACATACCCATATAGGCTGGGGACCAAATGGGGCTAATTTGAACTAGTTTTTAGTTCTAGACGCGTTAGTTCGAATTAGCTTAGTTCGAATTAACTAATTCGAAGTAAGTTAGTTCGAACTAACTCTGTAGTGTAGACATACCCATATAGGCTGGGGACCAAATGGCTAAGAAGCAGTTCTGGAGAAGAGGACCAGGGGATTACAATGGATGAGAAGCTGGATACCAGTCAAGAGTGCGCCCTTGTAGCCAAGAAGGCTAACGGCATATTGGGGTGGATTAGTAGGAGCATTTCCAGCAGATTTGGGGAAGTGACTTTTCCCCTTTATTTGGCACTGGTGAGACCACATCTGGAGTACTGTGTCCAGTTCTGGGCCCCCCATTACAGAAAGGATGAGAATGCATTGAAGAAAGTCCAGCACAGGGCAACAAAAATGATTAGGTGGCTGGAGCACATTGCTTATGAAGAGGCTGAGAGTTTTGATAGTAGTCTTCAACTACCTGGAGGGGGGCTCCAAAGAGGATGGAGAGGGGCTGTTCTCAGTGGTGACAGATAACAGAATGAGGAGTAATGGTCTCAAATTGCAGTGGGGAAAGTCTAGGTTGGATACTTGGAAAAACTACTTTACTAGGAGGGTGGTGAAGCACTGGAATGGGTTACCTAAGGAGGTGGTTAAATCTCCATCCCTAGAGGTTTGTAGGTCCTGGTTTGACAAAGTCCTGGCTGGGATGATTAACTTGGGATTGATCCTGCTTTAGCAGGAGGTTGGATTCAATCACCTCCTGAGATCTCTTCTATCCCTATGATTCTAAACAGTCAGCAGAAATCAGTACCTCTTCTCACGCCCTGGTTCATCACTACTGATTTATAAATTATACTCATACTTTTGATTTTACCTTGTCAAGGAAGGTGGGGCGGTCCAAGGAAGACTCTTTGGAGATTGGTGGTGGGCGGCAGCCAAGGGTTTTGGTGACCATTCCATTATAATCAGTCACTCCCATGCCACGCTTGTCGATTTCCACCTTCTTTTCCAGCAGAGCACCTGCATAGAAGGGAAGAATGGAAACACGGAAAGGACTGGTGATACAAGGTGCAAGTGATTCTGCAAAAACTTCTGAAACCTGTAGCCTGCTAAGATATATTTTTCCTACCCTTTTTATATTTTTAATAGCATGCTAGTAATGCAAGGGGCCTACAGTTAAATTTTCTGTATGATTTAGCTTTAGCAGAAATATGGTAGTTTGATGATAAAATATATTTGTTATTTTCCAAGATATGTATTGTGTAAGGGCCTTTGCGGTTAGCTTGACAAGTATTTGGGGGACCACTACTCAATTTTGATTGGCACAAGTAAGCGGAATCTGCAAACTCCCACCAACTGACTTTTCATATTTCACAAAATTAAGGTGCCAGATTTCCTGCACTTAACCACAATGTTCCCACTTCTTTTCTCTTTTCTGGGAATTGGTCCAAAAAGATGTCACTCTTTGCTTATACATATTCATAAATTCTCCCCACCTTTCTTCAAATCAGTTATAGGAATCCACAGAAATCTTAGGATACCAGGCCCAACTTTGGGTAAGGGGTTGGACATCTGGGATATTTTGGTGCCAAAAGAGAAATATAGGCCAGGGATTAGGGAAGTCGAGGCTGCTGCAGTTGTCGCTGACAGAGCCCGCTCTAGAGTGTGACCTGTTTTCTCTCAAGGTCAGAAACCAAATACTTATCTCTATTCTATCTTTATATTTCTATCTTGCTTCATTTATTTTGTTTAAGTCTTGTTTTTAGTCTCCCATACTCCACCTGCTCCAAGGCCTTTCAGGCGAAGGGAGGCTGGTCCTTCAGCCTTTGAGGAGACTAAGATCCTGTGGGTATGAAATGCTGTTAGGTAATTAGAATCTGTAAACTGAAATAAGTATAGTTTGATTTTGTTAGTGCCATCTGTAGAAGAAATTCAATTAATCTGGAAGTTCAGTACCATATTCTTTGTGGTTTTTGTAATCGTTATTCCCATGACAACAACATTTATTTTGATTGCATTTCCTAGTCGGAAGTGTGACTGTCAATCATCTGCAGACCCTCACGAGGGGGAATCTTATGGTTCAACCCACCTGTAACCTATGATAGAGAGGACGAATTTAGAGTCTCTGGTCAGATTGGCGAACCTTACCCACTTAAATTCTACTATAGTTCCTTCCCAGGCTAAAACCAAAACACTAGTATCAGTTATACACCAATTACAATTAATAATTTTAAGTGGAAAGCTAAAATACTCTGTCTTTGAAAACACTAAATATTACACTCCAGTGTTTGGTTTGAAAACAGTCACTAAAATGCGTTTCCTTAAAATGCCCTTTCGAAAAGGAATGCTAATTTAACAGGAACAGATCAAACTACATAATCATGTATCCATTCTCTGAAATGCCTTTTCTGAAAGGTGTTGGTTAGAAAGACACTTACTCATGGCCTGATCAAGATTCATATTGTTGCTCTTCAAGGCCTCTTCAGCTGGCTCTCTCTGCAAACAATAATGTGGGTTTGGTGATATTGTGTTTCACACAAGAATACAAACAAAATAGGAAATTTCAAGACTGTCTTCAATATTGGGTGTAACACTGACATGTATTAAGTGAATCAGATTATGTTTATACATAACTTTTTTGCTCTCACCAATTAAGACATGCTTCCCAGAAAGATATGACTTGTCTCCCTGTGCAAAATGTATATTCTTCTCTATAAAGTTCAATTATATTCTTTTTATAACAGAATTTGTAACCTTATGCAAAGGATAAACTTAGTAACTTAAAAAATATGACAGCACAAATCTGACTTAAAACCCCCCAACAACTCTCCCTTTTCCCCCAAAACTACATAATACTACCTATTTCATTTGCTTAAGAGGAGGGTGAGGAAGAGAACAGAGACTAATACATTCAAAATAATAATGAAAAACAAAATTACAAATATAAAAGTTTTAACTTTAATCAAAGTGAAAATTGTCAGTATCTATACCCAAAAGATATTTTGCCTGCTCTTTGGAGGCTTCACAAACTATACTAGATATGTTCAAAAGCGAGGTAGTTGTGTTAGTCTGTAACTGGAAAAACTTAATGTGTTGTTAGACTATGTATTGTTTAAGTTTATACTAGAGTAAATGGTCAAATATAGTTAAACTGATTTCCCATTGGAGGAATACTAATGACATTTTTATCTACAATCAGAAAGGTCAAAAATATACACCACAAGCTATAAAAATCAAGCTATGTGAAACACTAAAATATGAATGATGCTCACTGGGAAGCCCATGTCTGTGAGCTGTTTTATCAGACGGTTCATGATCCAGGCCTCATCTTGCTTACTAGATGTCTTCATGCCCTTGGTAAAGAAATTGAAAAGAAAATTGTCTATTTTTCATATTTATAGCAATGTGACACAGCTATGACAGGTTTCCCCTATTAATACTATATGTTGCTTCAGGTTGTATTTATAACACATTCATGAAACCTATACCCCCTCCCCCCAGTTGCCTGTTTCCATAACTGGTATTCTTCAAGATGTGTTGCTCCTGTCCATTCAACATAGATGTCACATGCACCGGTGCTGGAAGATTTTCCCTTGGCTGTACCAATAAGGGAGCTGGCTCAGGTGCCTCCTGGAATGGTGTGCACATGCCACGCTACATAAGGGGCCTATGTCCTCTTCTACCCTCAGTTCCTTGTTGCCAGAAAACTTGACAATGGGGAAGGAGGGCAGAATATTGAATAGACAAGAGCAATACATCTCAAAGAACATCAACTACAGAAACAGTTAACTGTCTTTTCTTTGAGTGCTTGCTCATGTCCATTCAACATAGGTGACTGGAAGCAGCATTTCTGGTGGTGAGAAGAGTTTAAGGACATGCTAACTGCAAAACAGCTTTCCCGAAAGCAGCATCCTCTCAGGCTTGTTGAGTAAGGGCATACTGCATTGCAATCTCTTGGGCTATGTCTAGACTGCAGGCTTCTTTCGAAAGATGCTCTTTCGAAAGCATCTTTCGAAAGAGCATCTTTCGAAAGATCGCGTCTAGACTGCACGCGGATCTTTCGAAAGAAAAATCCGCTTTTTCGAAAGAGAGCACCCAGCGAGTCTGGATGCTCTCTTTCGAAGACGGCCTCTTTACATTGAAGAACGCCTTCCTTCGAAAGAGGAACTTTCGAAGGAAGGCGTTCTTCCTCGTGAAACGAGGTTTACCGCCATCGAAAGAAAAGCCGCGTTCTTTCAAAATAATTTCGAAAGAACACGGCTTGAGTCTGGACGCAGGGGAAGTTTTTTCGGGAAAAGGCTACTTTTCCCGAAAAAACCCCTGAGTCTGGACACGGCCTTGGATAGGGACATTGGTGAGGAAGGCTGTAGAGGAGGCTTGTGCTCTGGTGGAGTAGGTCCTGATGAGTGGAGGTGGCTTAGCACCCACCAGCTGACAGCATGTTCGAATGCATGAGGTTATCCAACTGGAGATCCTGTATGTTAATACCAAGAGCCCCTTCATTCTTTCATCATGTGAGACAAACAACTGGGTCAATTTTCCCAATGGCTTCACTCTGTCAATGCAGAAAGTGAGGGTCCCGCAGACATCCAAGGTATGCAGTTGTCTCTGCTCATTGTTCACATTAGGTTTCAGGGAGAAGAATAATGGGAGGAAGATGTCCTGACCTATGTGGAAGGTTGAAACCTCCTGAGGTAGGAGGCAGGGTGTGGTCTTTAAAGAAGACAAGTTATGTGGGTTCCAAAGCCAAGGTCTGCAACTTGGAGACTCTACTAACTGATGTAATCGCCACCAGGCAGCCCACCATTCAGGAAAGGTATAGAAGGGAGCATGTGGCCATGGCCCGAAGGGCAGTCCAGTAAGCCTAGAGAGGACCAGGCTAAGGTCCCAGTGTGAAAGAGGGTACAAGCTACCCAAGACCTCTCCGGAACCTTTCTGTCATGCCATATGAGAATACAGACTGGCCTTGTATCTGCAGATGAAAAGCTGAAATTGTTGCCTAGTGCACCCTGAATGAATGCCAGTGCCAGGCCCTTCTCTTTCAAATGGAGAAAATAATTAAGGATGGTCTGGACAGGAGCCTCTGTTGGGGAGAGACCTCACACCGAAAATTGAGACCACTTGGCCACATGTCTGCCTGGTTGCTGGCTTACAGCTGTGGTGACCAACCAATTTTGAAGCCATAGCTGCTATAGTGTGTTGGACACCACGGGCTTACAGGCTCCCAACACGACCTCTGCATTCAGCCATGGAGCAGCCACACTATGAGATGGAACAATAACAGACCCGGATGGACAGTGATCCTGAGAGAACAGGTCCAGGCAGAGTGGCAAGGGACACAGGGGGCACACTGCGAAGCCCATAAGAGGGGCAAACCAATGCTAGTAAAGCCACACCAGCAAGACAAAAATGACCTTCACCAGGACCTTGGCCATGAGGGTAATCAGAGGAAACGCACAGAACGGGTCACTCGACCACAGGATGAGGATGGCATTCAGCAGGGATCCCGCAGTCACTCATTGTCTGGAGAAGACGCTGTGGCACTTTGCATTCTGTGCTATGGTGAAGCGGTCCACCTGGGGAATGCTCCACTTAAGAAAGAGCATGTCCTGTAGATGGAGAGCCCATTTGTGGTGAGAGGTGATTTGCCTGCTCAGCTGGCCAGCTAAGAGATTCCGCATTCCCAGAAGATGGTTGGCCTCCCAGGTAAATGCTGTGCTGACTGCAAAAATCCTGGAGATTCCTGACAGAGCATGCTGATCAAGTCCCCCCTCGATGGTTGACATAGATGTCATGACCATATTGTCTGTGGAGCTCTGGACCACTCTGCGTGTCAGATGAAGGAGGAAGACATCACACATCCTAGAAACCACAAGTAGCTTTTTAACATCTATGTTGAGGGATGATTCCTATGTGGACCAAGTACCCTGGGTATGGAGATTGCCAAGATGGGCACCCTAGCGCAAGTCCAATGCATCTGATACCAGTTCAATTGAGTGGGTAGGGACACTGAATGGTACTCCTGCTATAGCATTCTCGTGGCTCATCCACCAGGTGAGAGTGTTAAGGACTGGGGCATGGTCCAGGGGGACCACTGGAGGGGACCCGCAACAGTTTCATCTAGTGAGGAGGAGAAAGAGGCCTGCACTGGGGTACGGAGGGAGGGCTCTTTGGGACCTAGGAAGTCTGAAGACTATGCCTCTACTGCCTGTTCCACGTAGCGTGTGGGAGCCTTCGAGACTTCTGGTACTGGAGGGCATTTAAGCCTTGTCTACACTATGAAAATCGACTCTCCGGAGGTCAATTTTCTAGTGTTTGATTTAGCAGATCTAGTGTAGACCCCCAAATCAAACGCTGAGGGAAGCCCTTACCAGTGACCTATTCTCCTGAACTGTGAGGCGTAAAGGAAGCCGACAGGAGTGTGTGCACCTGTCAGTCGCCCAGTGTAGACACTGAAGCGTCACAGCTTAGGTAAGCCGAATCCAGCTATCCATTTTGCATAGCTGTATGATGTACCTTAAGCCAATCTGCCTGTTCTACTGTTGACCAGTTCTTAGGGGAAGAGGCTGACTGTTGTCACAGACATACCAGCTACTGACCACGATACCTGGGAGGGCAGGGGAAACCCCCCTGGGTCACAGGGGTACCATGAAGATGGCTAGGCCTGCAGCCACTGAGCAATTTAGTAATCCATCTGCAGTAGAGAGGGAGTTGGATGAGATGCTTGAGTAGGAGGCACAGAAGATTGGTCTGAGGCCAGGCTGACAAAATGTGTGGTGCCAGGAGGATCATGAACGAGAGCTCATATTGCCATGGTACCACACACTGTCCACTGCCAGGATGCAAAGAAGTGAGGAGAATGGTTCCCTAGAGAACTTGGACTTCTGGGGGACCCGTGGTACAGTATTGGGATCAGTACTGATGAGCCAAAGAGCAGTGCTGTGAAGCAGTGTGGGACCTCCAACCCCTGTGCTCCTCATGGACATGCTGTGGGGAATCTGTGCCAGCACCTTGTCTGTTGAAAGATGCTCAGATTGCAGAGGGTACCAGTCCTGAGCGAACTGTGCATACCAGGAGGCATATGCCTCAGAAGACTGGTGCCAAAGTCCTGCAGAGCCCAACTGTGAAATGTGAAACAGCTAATGCTGAGGCGAGCAGGTTCCAAGCACTGTCACTGGCAGCAAGAAGGAACTGAGGATGAAGGGGGCCAGAAACATCCTATATAGGCATATGCGTGTCACTTCAAGGGGGCACCTAAATTGGTTCCCCTACTGGTACTGCTAAGGTAAAATCTTTTGGAAGCAGTGCATGTGGGGAGCACACATACCTACATTGAATGGACATGAGCAAGCACTCCAAGACTAACAGGATACAATGACACAACCCTTCTCTCCAGAGGATGGAAAGCAGATTTTACCTCATCTGATCAGGTGCTGTAAACAACCACAGGATGAGTTTCTTTAGTCTAGCACTCTCTGGTCCAGCAACATCTATGGTCCTGCATGCTTTTAGTTAGCCAGAAGTCCTCTTCTCATGGGTGTGGTGGTCAAGTTTACCATGGTCCCATAAAGTTTGTTTATAGCCACCAATCCTGGCTTTCAGTGTTCTGTGCTGTTATTTAGCTCCAATTTACCTCAAAATGTCTTCTAAAAGCCCAGTAAGCTGTGGAAATGTTCATAATGCTGCTACATAATATTGACCTCCAGTGGTTTGGCAAATTCCCTGTTTCGGCACTGGTCAGGTCCTGAGAGTGCCGGACTAGAGAAGTTCAACCTGTACTTGTTATCTGCCTGATACGTCTTTAGAAGAACTTTGGGTAACTTCTCCACTTCAAGACCCTGCAGTGCAACTCTCTAAAGGTATGTCTACACTACCCCGCTAGTTCGAACTAGCGGGGTAGTGTAGACATACCCTGAATTACAGAGCACAAATGTTAAATAGGTGGGATGATAATATAAACATTGTGATTCTGAATCAAACCAGTGGTTCATCTAGTATATCTGACAACTATGGAATAACCTGCTCACAAGCAAAGCTAGTCCTGAAAATTAAGAGGCTAGCGCATGTCCTGAAATCCAAGGTTTTATATTTCTCATTTAAAAATGTCTAATGTAACTGTGGATGTTTTCTTGTTTAAGTTTCATACTGGTTAAATTTTACTCTGTTACCACATCAGTTCATGACAAAAATTATACATTCCCCCTTCAGATGTAGGAGACAAAGCAAATTTTTTTGCTTATGAATTACGCTGGACCATTTCTTAAAATATCACCATTTATCTTTTTCCAATGCAAATGAAAATGTTTAAGAGGTCACCAGTATGATTTTTTTTATTAATACTTTAAAAGATCTTCAAAATACATAGACTTCCATGAAATTGGGAGCACTATAAAAGTGAACTAAATTATTGTAGCTTCTATCCCTTCCCCCCAGGGAATATTCTGCATGTTAATGCAACCCAGAAACAGCTGTATTACTGCAAAAGACTAGCTAAATTTGCATTCAAGGGAAAATATTTTGCCTATCACTTAATATTTCAGGCCAGATTAATAACTGCTTTTACTTTAGCTGCCACTACAAGTGTATATAAACCCATTTCCTACAGTACTGCACTCATTTTCACCACTGATGATCAGAAACTTTCATTCAATTTCAGAGTATTAATCTTATACAGATAGTATGTGAGACATTTAGTGCTAGAAATGCTGCACTCTAACCCTATTGATTTTTTACAATCCATTCTTATCATTGTCCTACCTTTTGAAGTCCTTTCTTTGGGACATTTCCCCAAGAATTACAGGAGGAGTTATTCTCTTGTGAAGCAGTATTATTCCACATATCTCCTTCTTCATCTTCCCACTGACTAGTACTGAGGTTCACTTCATCCCCACCACTACCCCAGCCTTCTTGCATAGATTTAGAAGCTGGGGGGGGGGGGGGGGGACACAGAAGAGGGGAAAGGAAACATTTCTGTTACTTTTCTTTAGACTTTACATCTTTTAAAATTTACATGTACATCCATCCATCCTGTATTCATTATCTTAACATCTGATTGTTTTACAGAATTACACAGGTGCATCATATGGTTTGAATAATATTAATCTTTGGTTCTCTTTCCTAAATCTGGAGCAAAGGGATAAAATGTTTTCATTATTACTGTGGGAAAACTGCAAAGAACAGAATCTTGCTTTTTTACTCTAAAGGAAGTGACATTTTGTAATCAATCCAACCTCTTGGGGAACAGGGCTCAAAAGTCATGAAGTCACTAAAAATATATTTTCTCCTGATCTCATGAGTCATACCCTTTTAGTTGACAATTTTTGTTATTCCTAATGAACAAAGATTATAGTTGTGAAGACAGAAACAAAGCTTAAGGTAGCCTGAGCCAAACCTAACAAGAACCCTGAGGATTAGGACATGAACATGGATCAGTTGTCCTTTCCATTGTTGCTCAAAAGGTGAAATGTCACATTTTTAATCCTCTATAGATTTTCCAGAACTTCAATTATTTCAATGATTTCCAATATGTTGTAGGAGTACATCTCATAAGTTATAAAATAGCTCACTATAGCCAAACTGACACTCTACAAGATGAGCTGTGGCCTTCAGGCCAACAGTAGATAAAAGAATGTTTATCTGCCAGCTGATGCTATTTGGGAATCCCCTATCAGCAGTAAACAAACCAGGATGACTTAAGGATGTGAACTGTTTTGATGATTCAAAGGGATATTCCCTCTCCTACCAACATCACTGGTGTCTTGTTTGAGTTTAGCTGCTTTTCATACAGGTAATGATCTTAATTATGAACTTTGGGATAGCACAGTCAGCATTTGAGGAGGAAGAACAGAACAGTGTGATCTGTGTAATGTAGGTCTTTGAGGTTTGCTATATTCAGGATGTTAAGGAGTGAGTAAATGAGCAAGTACATGATTAGTTAATAAGGACCCACTGAGGCTCTGCAATTTAAATGTAGTAGAAGCCGGGCGTGCGGGCAGCCCAGCTCCTACTACATTTAAACTGCAGAGCTGCAGTGGGGGTAGGTCTGGGACCTGGCACAAGCAGTCCTGGCTCATGCTGGGTCCGGACCACTGCGACTTTGCCTTTTAAATGTAGTAAGAACAGCTGTGCTTCTGCCTCCCTTGAGACACTTCCCCTTTCCCACACCGCAGAGACAGTGCTGGGGGGACCAGCTTTAAAGCCGGCTCTCCCAAGCACTGGCTCCTACTCCCCACCCTTGCTACCTCTGATATAGAGGCAGTGGGGTGAGGGAGGAATGCGAGTAGTTGACCACCCTTTCACACCATGCACACATGCGCACATACACTTGAACCCTGAAGTTCAGTACAGTAGCTAGATTTTTTTTAAATGTTCTACTAAATGGGACAAAATCAGTGCACACGCCGAAAGAATTGAGATAATTTACTGATCTGAGAAAGTGAAAGTTACACATTGATATTAGCTTGTCTTTGGTTATAACGCTGCTCTTTTTCAAACCATAGCAATTTGAAATGCAAAAAATGGCATGGCAGAGTAAACTTGATTGAAAAATATACAAAAGTATAGATGCTATTTCCAACATTTTCTATTCTACTACCCAATGCTATCACAACAAAGCCAATGTGTGAATTCACCTGGCTTGCACAGTGCTGGGGCAGCAGCTGAAGATTTCTCTCTTCCATTCTCCCCACCCTGTACCACTGCTGGGGGGTTTCCCCCATGCTGAAGTGCCATTATCAACTGCAGCAGAAGGGGATGAGGGCTCTCCCCAAGAAGATTCAGTCTTCGTGTGGACATTAGGCATCTCCCCCCAGCCTGCTGAAAACAGAAAGATAAACAGTTAGCGCTAAAGGAAAAAAAAATGGAAACCAGTGAACCTCTTAGAATACATCTATCATTAAAATAACTTTTTTGTTGTGAGCATAAAGTAGTGGGAAGACAACACACAAATAAATAAATTAAGCACAAATAAAATCAATCTGATTTACTCAAATTTCTTTTTCTTAACTGAACTTCATTATATGCATTTGTTAAAACGGAAAAAAATATTTTCTAACAGCAGAAAAGAAGGTATTCAAGCGTATTCATATTGCTATACAAATGTACCTCAATTCTGATCTGGATATACCATTCTCCTTCCCAGATAAATCAGCTCCTCAAATGCTGTGTTTCTTTAGATCATATTAACCTGCCTCAAAATGCAAGTAAAGTGGTTTTGTGTTTACACCATGGTACTCAAAAGTTGTACAGGTAACTGAAAATATGAGGAGGAATCTCAACTAGAGTTGAACTCAGGGGTGCACTTTTTAAACCAATTAATTTTAAACTTCTTTAGTCCCCTTAACCAGACGGTCATTCATTCTTTCTTGTGCTCCAGAAAATAAATACTATATTTACCCTAGGTGGCCACATTTAACCTGATTATGTATTTCATCTGTATTCCAAAATGTTTTTTATTATGGGGTTGCAAGGAAGTGCATTTCTTTCATATTCCCTCAATCACTGAGGCCCTGTGCTGTAACCAACATCCTTTCACACCAGGACTAAATAGGACTGCAACTATATGATTACATTAAAATTAGTTGAAGGGATTGCTAATACAAGGTACTATTCCCAACCAAAGTGGTATCTATATTAGTATCTTAATATCTTTCCTAGTTGAAAAGTTACTTATTCAATTTTTTGTTACATATTTGTTCAGTGTACATATTTGTGTCAGCGATCAAGAAACCAACTTAATCTAGAAAGCAAAACAATATGTAGACAAACATAGCACCTATGGATTCTCTTGGAAAACTGAATTGCTTGAGCTAAATTCCCAAAAGATACATTGAATGATGTTTTTACTAGAAATGGAATGCAAGTCAAGATAAAACATACACAATGGCTACGTCTAGAGTACCATAATTTTCCGCAAATGCTTTTAATGGAAAAGTTTTCCGTTAAAAGCATTTTTGGAACAGAGCGTCTAGATTGGGACGGACGCTTTTCTGCAAAAGCACTTTTTGCAGAAAAGCGTCCATGGCCAATCTAGACGCGCTTTTCTGCAAAAAAGCCCCGATCGCCATTTTCGCGATCGGGGCTTTTTTGCGGAAAACAAATCTCAGCTGTCTACCCTGGCCCTTTTGCCCGAACGGGAGCAGCATATTATTTCCGCAAAAAGCACTGATTTCTTACAGTAGGAAGTCAGTGCTTTTGCGGAAATTCAAGCGGCCAGTGTAGACAGCTGGCAAGTTTTTCTGGAAAAGCTGCTGATTTTCCAGAAAAACTTGCCAGTTTAGACACAGCCAATGAGTAGTATTCATAACAGGAAGAATATTACAGAGGGACCACCAGTTATTCAAAACAGCTGATGGTTCCCTCTAGGCACCGCATACCCCTGGCAGGGCAAGGATGGGGGGCTAAGACTTCACACACTCCCACACCTGCAAGACAATCAGGGTCTGTGGGTAGGAGAGGATGTGAAGTCTCCTGGCTCCGTCCCTTCCAGGGCAGCCCATGATCACTTCTGAAATTCATGAAATGGTTTCTCTTAAAAAATTATTGCTCACCCCTGTCTTACATGCAACTGAAACTATAGTACATGTTAAAAAGGAGGGGTTCCCCAACTATTTTTTCTGCCTCCCCCTACATTTGAAAATATTTCAGGTTATGAAGACTCCCCTCCTGCCCCACACTTGGTACTTGTTACCTATGAGCTCTGTGTTCTTGTGGAGCCAGAGCATAATACTCATGGAAGACCCCACCACTATCAGGTGTCTGCTTGAACCAAAGACAAAGCAATGAAAAGACAGAGGAAGACACTCCTAAACCACTCTGGACAAGAGTCACAGAATTAAAGAAAGATCTTTAGCCTCATCTGAATCGAAGATAGAATACAGATTGTGACAAAGTCCCTTGTTAGGTCCCCATGGGTTTTGCGCTTCTTGATGGTTTTGTGTGTGTCTCAGAGACTCACGGTGACCCCTTTGTAGCCTTGGGACTTCCTCAGAGGCAAGGGTCCCTGCTTATTGAGTCATTCTCATCACAGGCAAGTTCTGAGTTGAGGAGGGAGTGGGGGAGGGGAGAGAGAAACAAACCCTCTTTTCCTGGCCTTTGGTCTGTTCCAATCTCCCTGGCAGGGTAATCCTCCAAGGGAAGGGGGCGGGGGTGTCCAGGCACGCCCACTCCACTAGACTCTGGCCCAGTGGGGCCTTACAAGAGGGGCAGCTAGCAGGGCTTCTTGCCCCACCCAGCAGGGCTTCTTGCCCCACCCTAACACCACTACCTCTCCCCAGACCACTTCATAAGAACGGCCGTACTGGGTCAGACCAAAAGTCCATCTAGCCCAGTATCCTGACTGCCGACAGCAGCCAGCACCAGGTGCCCCCGAGAGGGTGGACCGAAGACAATGATCAAGCGATTTGTCTCCTGCCATCCCTCTCCAGCCTCTGACAGACAGAGGCCAAGGACACCATTTTATCCCCTGGCTAATAGCCTTTTATGGACCTAACCTCCATGGGTATGTCTACACTACCCTCCTAGTTTGAACTAGGAGGGTAATGTAGGCATACCGCACTTGCTAATGAAGCCCGGGATTTGAATTTCCCGGGCTTCATTTGCAGAGAACTAGAACAGAGACCTGCACTACAAGGTCCATCGTGTGTGCCTGCTGATTGACACGTGTCTAGCTCATTCAGATCAACACGGGTCTATTGTACATTGTGTTGAAATTTGTACCTTCCAATTCAATCTCAGGCTTGCAGTCGATGGACAAGGGTGTCATTAGCAACTTCAAAGGCCCTTAGTGCGCTCATCTGAATGTGTTCATCATTGCCGTTGCTCCTCTTGCGACTGGCCCAAGCCATCCAGTACTGAATGTTACAAAAGCCACTACACCAATTGATGCACTTTGTCTTGCTAAGGAGCTTTGGGCTGTTGATCTCTCTCTGGGTATGTCTACACTACCCCGCTAGTTCGAACTAGCGGGGTAGTGCAGACATACCCCATGAAATTATCTAGCTTCTCTTTAAACTCACTGCTTCCTTCTATTATCTTCCACCTTTTACCTTGGGCAGGGTAGCTCTACTCTGTGCCTCTGCAAACTCTCTCTCTCTCTCCTGCCCTGGGAGGAAACCTTTTATAGGGACCCAGAGGCCTTAACTAGCAACAGGTGCTTAATTAACCCCTGTTGCAGGCTGACTCCTAATTAGGCCTCCATTGTCTGCCCTGATTGCCTTGCTGTGTTCAGTTGAGTCTAACTGGGAAACAAGAAGGCATAACCCACCTCCCAAGATAGCCTTTTATAAGATATTTGCAGTTCGCAGGCTGTGGTCTGCCACAAGACAGACATCTATATTAGTGATAGAGATGTAGCCGTGTTAGTCTGGTGCAGCTGAAGCAAAATGCAGGACAATGTAGCACTTTAAAGACTAACATATTAGCATACAGAATGGAGGAACAGCACTTCCAAAGCAATAACTGCACTAAACTATGAGATACCAAAAGCAGAAAAGCACTGCTTGGTGGGAAATCTCTGCTCCAGATGTTAATAAACCCATGCCTGCTCACACCCAAATCAGTAATGATCAGACCAATTTTAGTAACAGGTCCTCTACTGATATCCAAAATACCAAAACTGCCTAATTGCATTATGAGCTCTCTCAAGGAACACTGCCCATAGTCAGGAATGATCAGTTTCTATTGTCTAGTCTAAACAAAACAACTTTGGAATATTCCCTTGAACCATCTGTTTACTAAGGATGTTAAATTTAGATTAATTGGCTAATTGAATAGTCAATGCAATTTACATCAACTATTCAATTAGTTGATAAGGGCATCTTTGCCTTTAAAGTGGCTGTTGCAATACTTCAAAGGCAAAAGCACTGTGGGGAGCACAGGGCCAGTGGGGGACTCAAACAGTCCCCCATTGACCCTGTGCTCAGCAGGGGACTCTGAGTCCCCAGCTTATCCTGGGCTTCATGTGGTGCTGGTACTTTGAAACATGTCAGGGAGCCCGGCATCAGCCTCTAAGCGGTGTTTCAAAGCAGCAGCACTGCATGGAGCCCGGGGTCAGCAGGAGTCCCCAACTGACCCCTGGCTCCACACGGTGCTGCCACTTTAATGCCATGTGCAGCCTGTGGCCAGCTGGGGATGCGGGCTGCACACAGCGTTTCAAAGCAGTAGATCCCGGGCTCCACACAGCACTGATGCTTTGAAACCCCCACTCCTCTTCCTTCCCGCCCCCCGCTGCCTCTTTCTGATGAGGCAGCAAAGAGGAGGAGAAGTGACTAGTCGTCTACTGTGTTGACTATCCGATAAGCATTTGTTTATCAGATAGTTGACTAGTCTCTACTGTTTACTCATAAAGAAATCCAGTGTTCCCCATAACTATTGTTTTGTCCCAACAAAAACTCCTACCATTGCTCAAGAAAAGGGATGTGATGCCTGCATCTAGAGTCTGCATCTGTTCCATTGGGATGTCATCTTCTCCTGACTGATCGTGCTAGGAGCTTTGCTCTGCCTGTCTCCAATACTCTGGAACCCCCAGCTACCATCACCATCTAGGAATCCAGATGAGTTCAAACTTCATGGAGTGCTGAGCTCTCTCTCTCTTGCCTTCCTCTCTTTTTCTCCCCTCTCTTTAGGTGCAGCCTCCCTACCCTGTCTTATGTGATCAGTTATGGTTTTCTAGCTCAAGCATTTGTAATCCGATTTAAATTAGCTTTAATATTGTAACTGTTTTCTTTGTGTGGCTCCCCTTTACTATTACCTACAAATAAATAACTTTCATTGGTAAGCTGGTTGCTTTCTTTTCTTTTCCTCTCTCTCTTACTATT